CCCCCCCACCCCCGCCTGTTCCTGGTCCATGTAGTCACCTGCCCAGCCATGTCCCTTTGCACCAGCTATGAGCCCCTCTGTACATTACCCATGCCTCCACTCACCCATCCATAATCCACATGGGCAACCGCCTGTGCGCCACCCACCCATTATGCACCTAGTAGTCCACCCATCACCCACTCCCACCTGCCCAGTCACCCATCAGTCTGTGTGCACCCACACCCGCACATTCTCCCATGTCCCCAGCCACCCACCAACTCACCGCCTACCCACTCATCCGCCCATCTTCTCCCACAAACATGCATCCACCTGCCCACACAGCCATGCTCTCATCCACCTGCCACCTGTGTGCCACACACCCGTCTGCTGGTGGCGCACGCAGCTGCCAACCCCTCGGCCCGCGTGTCCATTCATTCATGCCCCTCCACTCCTCCTTGTCCACTCCTCTCCTGTGGCATGAGTGGGAGTGGGCATCACACCCTCTGCTGCCCATAGAGCCCTGGTGGGCACTGCCTGGCTGCAGCCAGCTCCCACCTCCCCCTTTTTCTTCTTCAGGAAAGAGTGGTCCCTGCACACTCCCTTTTCTGACTGTCAAGCTTGGAGGCAAGTTTTCTGGCGACTACAGTGTACATACGTCCCCATCTCCCCCCACCACTTGGGGTGTCAAAAAGGCCCGGTTTAGATTCTTGAAGGATTTCCACTGCGCGTGACTGCAAGGAGGTGAGCACGTTTCACCTAAAGCACACACTGCACCTCCACCAGCCGCCTCTCTCAGGGTCCAGAGGGGAAGCTGCCTCAGCCATAGGATTTCTGTAATGACGCACACTTTTGAAGGAGGCTGCCCGTCCTCCATCCTCTACCACCTCTCGAGGGCCACCACGGTGACCTTGGTAAGGAGGCTCACCCTACCTCCGCTGAAGGAAGAGGAAACTGAGGCGGGGTGGGGGGGAGTGGTACGGTGGGGACAGGGGAGAGGCGTCCGAGGTCCCAGGGGCAGGCAGGGCAGCCTGGGTCCTGGCCCCCGTCCCCAGAAGCTCCCA